TTGGCAGGCATGTGTGCAGTGCTGTGCGTGCGCGTGAGCGGGTGTTCTTACCATTCGGCAAGCGTGGATACAGTGCTGACGGGGTGCGCGTGAGCGGGTGCTTACCATTTGGCAGGCATGTGTGCAGTTCTGAGCGGGTGCACTTGAGCGGGTGTGCTTAGCATGGCTTCGCGAAGCGACGCGCCTGTGCAGTCAAAGTTCATGTTTTTGAGCGGCCGTTGCTGAATCTCCCACGCAGGCCGCACGAAAATGACCTCGCGCATGTCGCGAAAACAGGCGATCGCATGGTTTCGCGAATCGACGCGCCTGTGCAGTCAAAGTGCATTTTTTGATCGGCGGTGGCTGATCCCCCACGCAGGCCACACGAAATTGACCTCGGACATGTCGCTGAAACGCGCGTGAACAGAACGTCGGAGCCAACAACAGCAACAACAACAACCAACTACCACAACAACAACAGCAACAACAACAGCAACAGCAACAACAGCAACAGCAAAAGCAACAGCAACAGCAACAGCAACAACAACAACCAACAACCGCAACAACAACAGCAACAGCAACAGCAACAGCAACAGCAACAGCAACAGCAACAGCAACAGCAACAGCAACAGCAAGAGCAACAGCAGCAGCAACAGCAACAGCAACAGCAACAGCAACAGCAACAACACCGCCAGCAGCAGCAGCAGCAACACCACCACCACCACCACCAACAACAACAACTACAACAACACCAGCAGCAGCAGCAACAACACCACCACCAGCAGCAGCAGCAACGGCAGCAGCAGCAGGAGCAGCAGCAGCAGCAACAGCAACAGCAACAGCAACAACAACACCAGCAGCAGCAGCAACACCACCACCACCACCACCACCACCAACAACAACAACAACTACAACTACAACAACACCAGCAGCAGCAGCAGCAACAACTGCAACACAGGAGCAGCAGCAGCAGCAGCAGCAACAGCAACAGCAACAGCAACAGCAACAGCAACAGCAACAACAACAGCAGCAGCAACAGCAACAACAACAACAACAGCAACAGCAACAGCAACAGCAACAGCAACAGCAACAGCAGCAACAACACCAACACCAACACCAACACCAACACCAACACCAACACCAACAACACCACCGCCAACAACACCAACAACAACACCAACAACACCAGCAACACCAACAACACCAACAACACCAACAACACCAACAACACCAACAACACCAACAACACCAACGACACGAACAACACCAACAACACCAACAACACCAACACCACCAACACCACCAACACCAACACCAACACCAACACCACCGCCACCAACAACAACAACACCAACAACACCAATAACACCAACAAAACCAACAACACCAACAACACCAACAACACCAACAACAACAACACCAACGACACCAACAACACCAACAACACCAACAACACCAACACCACCAACACCACCAACACCAACACCAACACCACCGCCACCAACAACAACAACAACAATAACAACATGTTTTGATATCATGTGTATGGTTCCTTGATTTTATCGCCTGTGGTTCCCCCCCCTACGGTTTCCCCATCTGTGGTTCCTTTTTTTTTGGGGGGACACCACCCATGTCTCCACCGGCAGGAGGGCCAGCAGCATTCCAACTTGCTGGTGGCCACTGTGTCGAAGCTGCTGCACGGCTTGAGGGCCGGCGAAGGACGGGTGGAACGTTGACAAGTCACTTACCCTCCATCCAACGAACATGGCAACTCACAGGGGCTCCCCGCAAAAGGACATTAATCTTCCACGTGCCTCTCCACAGGTGCCATGTTAGTTGGAGGAAGGGTAGTTGCTTGCCAACCATTCCTAGGTCCCCAAGTAGTGCCCTTTTACCAACTTTTTTGTGGGAGGGTTCCCCTACTATAATAGAGCTTTGACAAGTCACTCACCCTCCCTCCCTACTAACATGGCTGTGGTTGTCAAAACCGTTTTGGATCCCATTTTGGTTGGTAGGTGACTTCACCACCCATTTTAGTCGGGATTTTAGTGGGGATTGGGATGTTCACTGGGGGTACGGGATGTTGAGCCATGGTCACATGGCAACTGATAATCTGATGGGGCTCCCCTCAAAAGGAAATGAATCTTCCAGGTACCTCCCCACAGGTGCCATGTTAGTTGGAGGAAGGGTAGTTGTTTGCTTGCCAACCATTTGGGACCTCGAAATTTGATGACTGACATATACCTCTTTGCTGTCTACTTGCGAGCACCCAGATGTGTTGTTTCCCATGCAGGAGCTGCGAGCTTTGCTGCCGACTGCTTGCTCCAAGCGCACACCACTCCACTTCCGCGGCTGTTCTTGGTGGAGCTGACACAGTACCTAGGCTTGAGAGGTGGCTGTGGGTCAAAACCAATGGTACCATTTTGGGGTTGGTGCGCCACCCATTTTAGTCTATTCTACTGGGGATTGGGATGTCCACTGGGGGTACGGGATTTTGACCCATGGCCAGGTGATAGGGTGCTTCTCAAACCATGCCAGTAGGGTCCGCCCGTTTCCCCGTGGCTCCCTTTAAAACCCGCCAAAAAGGGGTCGATGTGTGGGCAAGTGTGAGGGATCACCAGTTCCGGTGAGAATTGGTGTGGCAGTGGCAGCGAAGGAATCTGTGCTCAGCTTTAGTTCCTAGGTAATCATGGCAATCATGGCTGACTGACGGCCAAAGCGTCTTACGCCTTCCGAGCCTCGCCGCTTGAGGCACTGCACACCGCAAGAGCTTTCCTCGCAGGGTGCCTTCCAAAGGCGCGAACCGGAGAGGGTTTTTTGCGATCGCAGAAGCGCTTATGTGGCTTCGATGGGAAGAGTGTGGATCAAAAATAGGTACCCAGAATGGAACCCTGGTAAATGGAAACAAACACTAAAACCTGCCGTCCCCTGGTGATTCAATTTTGAGTTCGAATGTCGCACGCCAGGTCTCTGGCAGGCTTCCTGGTGGCCCTATCGGAGCGCCTGCCCCATGCCGCTGGGTTGAACTCAATCGGTGTGAGTTGGGCGAGGGGCCTCCTGGGTTTGGTGGCTGTAAAGGTCGGAGCCATTGTCAGTCGCAACTCCAGACAGGTGGTCTTGGCCAACATCAGCGTGCTGCTGCCATTGCTGGACGTAGACTGCTATCCCATTCGGCAGGCCAAAGCGGCGCAATTTGTGCTTTTCGGGATTTCAACGTCGCTGGTGTCAACTCCTATCATAGCTTCCAAGCGGGTCAGTCCATTCCCATGGCTAGGCCATCGTAGAGAGCATCGGCCAGCTGCTTGCTGCAGAAGGCGGCCGCTTGTTGATGGGGAGGTTGGTGAATTTCCCCGCACAACTTAAGCTATACCTTGCTTTGTCAGCTAAAGCAAAAGTAGATGGGACCATTTCGCCATGTTGCAATGGGTCAAACATACGTACCGGTGGTTAAATTTTGACCCATACGCATGTGTTCATCATTTTCCCTAAAAGGAAAGGAATATTTGGCATCTGCTTTTACCCGCCGCGGAGGGTTGCTCCGCCAGGCAAGGCGCTGCCGAGCGGCGCCCACAACGCGGAAGAGCAACAGCCGGAGGGCGAGGGAGAGGACGAGTCCGGGGGCCGGGGTAAGTGAAACTGAGCTGTTGAAATCCGTCGAACCGTTCTTTGCATGGCTGTTGAAATCAGTCAAACCGTTCTTTGCATGGCTGTTGAAATCAGTCGAACCGTTCCTTGCATGGCTCGAAAAAGAAATGAAAAGGAGATCTGCATTTGCAGAACCCAAGGAGCCACTCTGTGCCCATACCTTCCCTGCCAGTCTCATACTCAAGGATTTGTGGTGACCCTATGGGGTAGTTGTACTTTGTTGAGGTGGTTCGAGATGAAGTGGCCCATCGGGGTGTCAGCTGTCATGCTTCGTGAAGATATGCGATTGGGGTTGGATCCGACTCGGAGGGGATTGATGGCACTGGCCGTTGGTCGTGCGTGGATTCATTTGTTGCACTTGCTTTTCTGGCGGCACAGGCAGTCCTTCCGAGCAACAGCGGCACCTTCACCCTGGCTCCGGCGACCAAGAATGACCTGCTTGCTGCCGGCAGTTGGAACATGAATGTGCGGCGAGGTTTTTCGAGTTGCCGTTTTTCGATGATAGCCGGGAAAAAAGAAGAAGAATAAAAACGGCACGCTGTCGAGGTTAGAGACGCTCTTCACAAGGTTCCTTGACAAGAGCGTCTGGGTCCGCTACCGCGTTCTGCAGACCCTGAACAGCCTGGCCTCGAATGGCAGGAGCTTGCCTAGGCCGGGATGCCTACGCTTGGGAGAGGCGCAAGGTTTATCACGAAAGGTAGCCTCAAGAAGGGTAGCCTCAAGAAGGCTAGCTGGGAAATTCCCCCCCCTTTGACTCCTCTGGCCCCGCTGCCTGATTGGCAGCTTCGCTCCTTTTGCCGGTCTTCTCGCCGCTCTTGTTTGCTCGCTTCGCTTCACCCTTCGGTCCTCTTTTCGCACCGTTTTGCTTCTGTGTTTCAAGGCCGGTCCTCCCAGTCAAGTCGTGGTGGAAGTTGATATGCGACACTCAGTGCACGTTTGCTCCATAGTGGGCTATGCACAATCATACGGTGCTGGGGGGTACCTCGGTTTTAGCGCCAACACCTCCAGACTTTGTCTTTGGGACGTTCCATTGTTTAGGGGAATATGGTATCCTACCTTTCGTGTCTCCCCTTCTCAAGTCCGACGCAAGAAACATTATGTCGGGCATCTTTCCATGAAGACCTGGCGTAAATATATATATATATATATATATTTTGGCAGCTTTCCCAGCTCCAAGAGAGAACATACAATTTCTTTGCTCCAGGTTGCCAGTCTTTGTTGGAGTCTACGATCCTGGTTCGGCTGTTTGCCAGGGAGCTCTGGCCGCGCGTGCTGGACTTGGCCATCCGGCGGATGCAAGATACCGCCAGCATGTCCAGGACTGCGCTCCGCGTTCCGTTTGGCATGGCAACCTCAGCCCCGGGAATAAAGTTGGGGCCTGGCTCAAAGTTGTAATCGGCCAGGGCAAACTGCAGGTTAAGGTGTCACTTTGGTCTCCATGTTTCTGAGCCACAGCCAAATGGACTCCTCGAGAAGTGTCGGGAGGGTGACCTGAGCGTTTTTTCTCTTCAAATGTGCAAGCAGGTCAGTGGGCACCTCAGAACTTCGAACAACCAATCTGACACCATGAACATGTTTATGGGCCCCGACTTGGAGTGGACTCATTGGCTGAGCTTGCTTTGGCAAGTTGCTCAACCTTCTCCCTCCAATAAGGAGGTGCTTTGCGGATGTGAACAGCTGCATTTTGCCGTGGTCTAGGGGTGACATGCATGCAGTCTTGAAGTCCTGGTTTGAAGGGGGCCGGCCCGGGCAACATCCTTCGCCCCACAAAACAACCCTCAGTTGTCCAACTCCGATGTGCGTTCCAGACTTTGGCCGACTTTTGGGCAAGTTCCTGCGAAGGTGGCCGTCTTGGGGCCGGAGAGCAGCTCAGTTTTTTACATCCCCCCCACTGATTTGCGCGTTTGCTGGCAAAAGCCGGCAACAAAAACAACAACACCGGCAACCAAACAAAGCCGGCAACAAACAAACACCGGCCGAACAAACAAGCGCCTGGGACAGAAAAAAGAGCAACATTCGCAAAAGCAGCCGACACCGACACACCCCTGAGAAAGAAAGGAGAAACGCAGAAGCCGGCAGGAAGGCGGCCATGCAGCTGGTGCGGAAGCTGGTGGAGTTCCACCCCTACGGCCCCGCGCTGAAAGGCTCCGGGGACGAGAGCGCCAAGGCGGAGAAGCTGCTGAAAGAAATCCAGGCGCTCGCGCGCGCGCGGGAGGGGGGGATTTGGGGGCTGGGGGGAAGGGAGGCCGCAAGGGGCTGAAAAAAGAGAGGGATTTTTGTGAAGCAAAAGGGGGCCAGAGCAACCCCTTCGAAACAAGAACTCCTTTGAACATTTCTTTGCAGCAACTTGGCTGTGAGTCAACATTGGCAACCCCCAAGCAATTGGCGACCATGAAACCCCATTTGAAGATCATGCTTAGCTACACAAGCAGACATTCCCAATCGCCTGGCAGGTCTAAGCCCCTTGTACCAACAAGTTTTTCATTGTTGTTTTGGTAGAAAAACAGATGGCGATTCCTGGTTTACCTGGTGGTTTAATCATCTACCAGGAAAACCCATCTATTTTTACTAAAAGGACACCTATGACAGGGGCCCTTTCGTTTGTTCAGAAACAATTTTGTCGCCCCAGCCCCAATCGAAATGACAGGTCTACGCCAACTCCTTGTACAAACAATTGCTTCAACAACCTTCCTTTGGTTTTCCTTAGCGCATAGGCCCATTCTTCGTAAAATCCCATCTTGTCGCCAGGACCGCCTGAACAAGCTGAAGGCCGAGGAGTTGGCCGAGCTCGAGGGCGGAGCGGACGGAGCCGACGACGAGGCCCTGGAGCAGCCGGAGAAGCGGCGCCGGTGCAAGGGGAAGACCGACGCCCTGTCTCGAAACGGAGATGATTTGATGGTTTAGACTCTGTGTGTTCGCCTTTGATCTATGCGTATGCATACATGTATATAGTTTATTTCAAGTGTGTGTAATGTACTGTACTGTAATGCAATGCCGTGTAACGTAAGATAAAGCAGCGCAACGTAAAGTAATTTAATAACATGTAACGTAGTGTAATGTAATATGATGTATGTACTGTATTGTATTGTAAGGTATAGCATCATGTAGTATAGTATTAAAAACAATGTATGTATGTAGGTAGTGATGTAATGTAATGTAATGTCATGTATTGCAATGCAATGAAATCCAATGCAATGCAATGTACTGTAATGTATGTATGTGTGAAGTGTATGTATATGTGTATGTATGTACGTATGTATGTATGTATGTACATATGTACGTACGTACATACGTACGTATGTACGTATGTATGTATGTATGTATGTATGTAATGTAATGTAATGTAATGGAATGGAATGTAATGTAATGTAATGTAATGTAATGTAATGTAATGTAATGTAATGTAATGTAATGTAATGTATGTAAGGTATGTAATGTAATGTAATGTAATGTAATGTAATGTAATGTAATGTAATGTATGTATGTATGTATGTATGTATGTATGTATGTATGTGTGCAATGTATGTATGTATGTAAGTATGTATGTAATGTATGTATGTATGTATGTATGAGGTATGTATGTAATGTATGTATGTATGTATGTATGTATGTATGTATGTATGTATGTATGTATGTATGTGAAATGTAATGTAATGTAATGTAATGTAATGTATGTATGTATGTATGTATGTATGTATGTATGTATGTATGTATGTATGTATGTATGTATGTATGTATGTATGTATGTATGTATGTATGTATGTATGTATGTATGTATGTATGTATGTATGTATGTATGTATGTATGTATGTATGTATGTATGTATGTATGTATGTATGTATGTATGTATGTATGTATGTATGTATGTATGTATGT